CATGTCTTTTCAATACATGGCGGGTAGGAGGCTGTACTGACGATTCCCACTCCTACCCGCATGCAGTGTTCGGTCTGTGTATACAGCTAAGGGATGAAACACAGAGAGTGCATCGTGAAAAATGTCCTTTTATACATGACACCTAATTCCAATCTTCTTACTCCACTATTCCAGCTGAAACTGACATTTCTTCCGCAAAAAATTTCTCTTCTTCCCGCACTCCTTCCATGACGATCTTTTCGATGATCAAGCTTTGCTGCGTTGTTCCGACAGCTGTACTGAACAAACCGACTTTACTCCTTCTTTGCTCCTGCTGCGTAACTTTCTTCAGCTCAATTCATCGCCGTAAAAAATCCCGGAAGATATCGCAGTTGATCGAAGTAGAAGAGGGAAAAATCCGAAGTTTCTAAATCTATAAAAAATAAACGATTCCTAGACGCTACGGGTCGCACTGTTTTCTTCCAGAACTTTAAAAAATAATAATGTTTAACACAGCAAAAACACCTCGAAACGACTAAGCTAAGCTAAATTGCTTTCATTGGGAGAATCGTTGAGCTGGTTATCCTTTAAAGACATAGGCGGACCGCCAGACTCCTGGGAGGAGAGGGGGGAACACGGAGGTGGAAGGAGAGTAGGGCTCCTAGGGAGGGTGGGGGAGGGGGGGAGGAGGGGGGAAGAGATCCCCTCCCACCTTGAAACTATACAAAAACTAAGAATAGAATGTTAAAACTCCAAGTTACAGTGTTATAACCGCTATTTAGAGTTACTTTAGTTTCATTTATGAAGACAACCGGACTTTTCGCCACTGGTGCCTGTGTCGCTGGGGAGAGCGAAAGAGTCATCGACCCTCGCTCCCCTCTCCTTCCTCCACGACCCTCCCCTCTCCCCTCTCCCCTCTGGATCCGCCTATATTTCAAGAGATGAAACGAAGTCGGGTCACCGTCAGCAGTCTGATCATCAAAAAAACAATACAGCAGCAGTGGTCAAAACAACTGGAAAAGCTGCTGGGCTACATAGATGGAGAACCGCCAAAGTACGATCTATAAGCTGTTCCAAAAAAAATCCAAAAAATAAATAAAATTTAAAATAAAATTAAATAAAGTTTAACAAAATTTATTAAAAAATTAAATAAAATTTGTTTTAGGATTAAACTAACAATTGTAGTAGTGCAGCAACAAGACAGCTGGCCGTAAGCGATATTAAGCCCAGTACAGCGAAGAAAATAGCTATGAAACCACCGAGTACGCCCAGTGCTTTGGCCAGGAAGCGTACCCACCATGGAAAAGCTGAATCCGGATCATGCTCCTGCTGCATCTGCGCCTGCATTCCCGATGCTGCGGCTCCCATATCAACATGAATTCACTGAACCAATATAGTTGTTAATAATGATAACACTGAAATTTGTTTTACTATAATTATTATTTATTATCTTTATTTATTGGTATTTTCAGGAGTAGCATTAACCGTAACACAAATGATTGTCGCGCTCAATTATAACTATATTCTTATAACAGCGAG